TAGGCCAGAACTTCTTCTGGCCTCAGGTTACACTGATCTTACTTGTAAAATTTTCATTTGTGAAACTTGTTTGAGGCACAACAGTGAGGACACTGTTGAAGTTAAGTTTGGGGGAGAGTATTCTGCTGGTGCACCATAAACCATGTTTGCTCTTTAGAATTTTCTTTTATTTCCTTTCTTATGTTTCAGTTGCTGTTTTAAGGAATTTTTTTTGCTATTTTGATTGGATTTGTTGTTTTTAGAGTTGTAGGAAGTTTTCTGTTGGTTTGGTTGTTTTGGGTTAGGTAGAGATTAGTTGTTGTTAAAGTAGAGGTAGAAAAGAAAATGTAGGAAGGAATTGCTAGAATTCAGCAGTTGTTTGGTGGATTAATTAGAGGATTGGATTGAATTTTTGTAAAAGAAAAAGAAAATTTTTGAAAGGTGTGATGGAAGTTGACAAGTGGATTGAGGGCAGTGAAAGAAAAAATAGTTGGGAGACTGAGTGCTAAAATGAATAAGGCAGAGAATGAAGTTGAAACAAAAGGCAAGTGAGTTGGTGATTAAGTCTAGCTAGCCTAGTGAGGATTTGATCCATAAACAGTTGAAATTTTTTCTGAGGTTCCTTTCTGGGATAGAAGAAACAGAATTTGATTTGATGCTAGGTAATTAGGTGAGGCACGAGTTAAGCTTCAAGATGAAGAAGGCAAATTTTTTTCTGACTAACCCTTAGAGCCAAAAGCCAACCTTGAATATTTTTGTCTTTGTTAACCCACTTTGAGCCTGTAGCTTAATCTTTTGGACTCCCTCATTTTTCCCATCCCATGACCACCTTCCCACTTAGTGATGATGGAATAAAAAAAAAAATTGTGAAGTTGCAATTCATTGAAAATGAATTCAGTTCCATGGCTGAGGATAAAGAAAAGAGAAAAAGGTGTTAGTGTACACCACACAAAAAAAAAAGAGAAAGAATGTTTTCGAAGAAAAGAATGAAAAAAAAAAAGAAAAAGATTACAAAAGAATAAAAAAGTTTGGCAACCATGGAGGTGTCTAGTAAAATGCTGATTGCACCCCTTGTCCATCATAGCTGAGTTAGCAATTAATCCATAAATTTCCTACCTTAACCAAGCCAAGATACAACCCATGAAGACCTTCTGATTGAAGTCCAATTTGTGTGACATTTAAAAGCCAAAGCGTCTTATCAAGCCTATGTTGAGGCTATTCCCAGTAAAGGTGTAAGCTAAACAGCTCCCTGAACTATTGAGTGATGAACACATATGAGGAGAGAGTTTTAGCCATTCTCATTTGCTTTTTGTGAAGATATGGTTCTCTGTGTATGAATTGATGCGTTATGGTCTCCCTTGTTATGTTCAATTGCCACTGATTACACTTGAACATTGAAGTTACACTGATCATTGATTTTGTTTGTATGCTTTAACTGCAATCCTTTTCTCTGATTGAGGCATAAACTTTTGCGAGTTAACTGCATTTCCTTTAGTAAAAGTCAAGAACTGATCCTGTGAAAGTTTTGAATGGAGAATGAACTAATTTGAGAAACTGATCATTTTAACTAATGCTTGTTTTAATCTTTTGAAAAGTAAAAAAAAGAGCAGAGTGGATATTTGCGAGTGATTCAAAGTGGTGTGTTTGACTGAAAAAAGGTGGATTCTGAGAATTCTGTTGGTGATGCATGTTTTATGTGAAATAAAAGTTTTGTTGTTGTTGAGGAACTGTTCTTTTGAAAGAATTATGATGTTGCATTGTATTTGCTCCTTGAGGACAAGTAACAATGTAAGTTTGGGGGTGTGATAAGTCTCTTTAATGAGACTTAGAACATATGGTTTAGAATGTAATTGGTGAGAAATGAATGACTTTTGTGATTAAAATACCCCAAAAATTCATGTTGAGCTGAAATTTAATGGGCTTAAGTGCTAATGGGCTTAAACTTGTTATTTTACAAGCCCATTTTGTTAACATTCATCAGGAAATGAAGCAAGAAGAAAAGAAAAGGAAAAGCAAGAAGAAAAGATATGGGTTGGACCTGTTGTCAATCAAAAAGCCCAGATGAAGGAAAATTAAAGAAAGAAAGAGATAGGAATAGAAAGAAAGAGACAGAGTCAGAAACGAGAAGAAAAGGGCTGAGAGAAAACCCTAGCACACATTGTGCGACAAAGACCGACCATCATTCGACCACAAATCCACACCACCCATCCAAAGTTCCTTGCCACAAATCGATTTGCAAAGCCAAACCGTTCTCTGTTTTCGGTTTATTTGTCAAGATTAACCCTCAACCACGGTTCATTGAGAGATTAACCAAACCCTAGTCACCCCTTCCTTATACAGAAAACGTCAAAACAACAACCCCTTGCTGAGTGGATGAGCTGGATACTTTTTGAGAGTGGAGGCTGGAGCGATTTGTGGGCGCAAGTTTACGTACGGGTTAAAGGAGCAACAATTCCATTCGGATTGTCTGAGGAGGGAGCTGTTGGGGACCACCTGCATACAACGCGCGAGAAGCGCGTAACCCCTGCTGAGCTGGAGAAGAAAATCGTGCAAAGAAGGAAATGAGCCCTATAAAAAGGGACTGAGGAGTGAGTCATGTGTCTCTCTGCTGGTTCTGATTTACCGTTTTTTAGTTTTTGTTTTCTTAACAATTTTTATTTTATTTTCTTTTAAGTTCTGTTTTGTAATGAGATTCTGGTTCATTTGATGAACTTGATGCATGTCTTTACAGCACTGAGATTGCCGGTTGTTAGGCCAGTGCTGTAATTTAGTTTTTAGAATTTTTATTTTGTGATTTCTTTAGTTCTCTGTTACTGTTTGTAAGCTTCATCCATATGGATAGTGGCTAACTTTTTAGAGGTTGGGTTTAGGTGATACCCAAACCTCAGTGCTTGTTAAACGTTTGGTTTTCTGGTTTTAATTTTTATATCTCAGTTGTTTAATGCTTTTTCTAATGTTTAAAATTATCTGCATTTTGGCCAAATGTCAGAGGTTTGGTTAGGATTTAGTTGTTGAGAAACAACTAATTCTGGATTCTGCATTAGACACATGGACTTAGATGAGAAATCATCTAAGGGATCTCATTTCAGAAATGAATGAGACCTCATGTAATGTTGGACCTGACTCTCAAGAGTCCTAATCCCACTTGTCATAGAGATATGGAAGTGGGCAACTTTGGGATAAAATAATTTTTAAGAGATTAAAATTAACAATACAGTTCTGTTAACTGAGAATCTTAGGATGAGCTTTTTGTTAATCAAATTATTTTTCAAGCACTGTGGGGAAGGAGAGCCAGAACTCAACCCACCTTTTTGAACTTCTTTATCAACTCAGATTTCTAATTTCCTTTGTTATTTCATATTTCAATCTCTGTTCTGTTTCCAAAATCTTTGTCACATCTGTCATTTAAGTTGCTTCATTCTTACTTCTTATTTTATAACTTAGGAAAGTAATTCAGAAAATTTTAAAAGAAAAGAGAACAGTAGTGTTTTAGGTCCATTCTAAATTATTTTTTTACTTTACAATTTTATTTCTTTTATTTTCAAATAGTAACTCAGTTTTAAGCAATTACAAATTTTAGTCATTTTAAAACGCCAACGATCCTTGTGGGAACGATAACTGGGACTTATAACAGTCCTATATTACTTGTTGTCGCGTATACTTGCGCGCATTACTTGCACAACTGTTAACAAGGCACCAACTCTCCTGATTGCCGCCAACAAAGAATCATAGCCTTCAAATATAAAATTCATCTCGGTAAGGAGTCACCGAAGACGGTCACAACTTGCTACCAATCAAGTCCTCCCAACAATTACTTTCTTCTATATTCAAACATTGATATATCCACCTGTCGAAAAGTGTACACGTGGTATCTACAAAATATTTCGAATAAACTTCAAATCTCTTTCTTTCCTCATTTAATGACTTTGAACATTTTTCTTTAAATAATTAAAAAGATTATAAATTTATCAATATTAAACTTATTCACCAGGAGGATATATAAAGTTTAGCCAAATAATCTTCCTAAGTAATTACAGAAGAAAACATAAAATGTTTTCTAAATTTTTAAGAAATTAAATATTATGCTTTTTCATTTAATATTTTTATTAATTGAATGTATGTCACACTAATTATTTAATAGGATTTAGCATTACTCTTTATGTTCGCGGAAAATAAGTATGAGACTTAGAAGAACCATTTGAAGGATTTTGTATATTTGAAGGATTAATGTAGTAATACATCAATATGAAAAGAACCGTTTTTTTATATTGAGCCTAATTACTTCTTTGAGAATAGTCGGCTCCTCAGGTATCCCCATAAATTGCAGAATTTCCCTTCTACAGTACAGCAGAAGGTGCAGTAGTACATTTCCCTAAGTTTATAAATGTAATTGAATATTTTTTTTTTCATAACCGTTTCATGGTTTACCTAATTAGCCTGATTCCAGTAGACTTATCTTGGGTCGATTTTTCCAAAATTATTTTTTTATTCTCATGGCTAGCTTGACCCTGAGACTTCTAGTTAAGGGGATTAAGTTCATTATCACTTAAATCAATAATTATTCGACGAAGATTATATTTACAAACTACACTAAATATAGTCGGTCATACTTCAATCAAAAATGTATGATCGGTCATACTTAGTATAATTTGTAAAAAAAATTTGTAAACATATCATTTTCGAAATAAGATCCGTTTATAAATTTGTTTTGCAAATTACACTACGTACGACTGGTCGTACACTGCATGATTAAAGTATGACCGGTCGTATTTAGTGTAGTTTATAAAAGTTTGTAAACAAAAAAATTTATAAATATAACATGCCCATCATTTTCGCTAATTATTGGTGATAGATTTTTTTAATTAAAAGAAACAGGGACCTCATTAATTAGTAACGTTATTTTTCCTTTGTATTTATTTTATTTTAAATTTTGGGTAGTGATGAAGCATTTATTATATATACTCCAACAACAAATGCTTTGCACTCACACTTTTACCTATCTTTTGCTAGTAGAAAAAAGGAAACAGATATGGAGAACAATGGGGAAAGCAATAGCAGAGGTGGTAGCTTCAGGTTGGGGTTGGGAGTGAACGAGGCAAAAGTTCACACTGTGGTTGAGCTTGGTAGTGTTGACACACACAGTCTTCTTCTAGAGTGTGGTGATGTTGTTGGTAATGGAGAGGAAAGAGAGAAACAGAAAAAACCTCTTACAAATTGTCTCTCTACTAGGCAGATGAAGTCCCTAATTGCTCTGAGTGATACCATCTTACCTTCCATCAAGGATTCATTTGCTGGCTCCTCTGACGAATCTGTCTCCAACTTCTACCGTACTTCAGCTTCCATGGCTGGAACACCTGAGCGTGTAGGCCTAGCCAACTTTCATACTCTTATTTTTTTTCTCTCTCTTTCTCTTTCATTTCTAATCTTTTTACGTACAAGAGAATAATCTAACTTGCACGGTCATACAAATAACAAGTTTTATTCTCAATTTTAATTGTTAATTTCACTTGCATTTAACTATCTTATTTTTTCTTTTTTTGGTAAATAGCTTAACTATCTTAAATTATTAGTCAATCATGCGACTTGTTAATTACAAATGAAATCATCAATTGTTCAACAAAAAAAGAAATAATCAATTAAGATTAACCGTAAAATTTATTATATCCATACTCATATATATATATATATATATATATATATATATATGAGGTAGGATCCTTTGACATCGGTGTCAAATTTTAATTTTGACATCTCATCTGAGAGCCGTTAGATAAGATGTCAAAATTTCAATTTTAACGGCTCTCAGATGAGATGTCAAAATTAAAATTTGACACCGGTGTCAAAGGATCCTACCTCTATCTATATATATATATATATATATATAGAGAGAGAGAGAGAGGTGTTTTAAATTGTAGTTGTTGGTATCAATTCTTATACGGCTGTTAAGATGATAAAAAAAAAAAAAAAGTTCTAGGCATCATTGCATCCAACAGAAGGAGCATGTTACAGTTTGAGAAATGATTGACGCAGAAAGTAGAGTTTTACAAAACCCTCGTAAAATGTTGAAGAAGTCTTAGCTGAATGAAAAGATTGAAATGTTTTTCAACCACCCTTCTAACTTTTTGTTAGACTTTTATGAAATTTTTAGGGAATTATTTTTATTATGTTAGATAATCTAAAATTATCTTCCAACAGACACATTTTATTATGTTACATAATCTAAAATCATCTTCCAACAGACACAAAATTTATATGGGACCCATTTTAAATTTTTTCTCTTTTTCCTATTCTCTCTTCTCTCTCCTCCTTTTGTGAGAGTAGAAAATTTGCTTTTAGGTTATGTTACATAACAAAAGCAATTCCCAACTTTTTATATGCATCTATTATTTAAGCATTTATAACTTCAGTTGCATTATTATAATAATATACACAAAAAGCGAAAAATACTACAAAAGTAATATAAAAAGTCTTATCATGCTTTTTGTCATTATATATATATATATATATATATATATATATATATATATATATATATATATATATATATCGTTATCGTAATTTATATTTCACCGCAAAAATATAAAAGAAGTAATGATAGGGTCAAAAGAAATTTGCAGAGTAAACTATTCCAAGTTTACAATAGTTTTTTTTTTTTTCTGATACAATTTTATTACAATAACTTTTTGTTATCATTGTATTAATATCTGTTTTTTGCTTTAATTTGTAGCTTGGGATTATGATAAGTGAGAAACTGAAACACCCAAGTAAATGGTTGTTGCTGTTGACGTTATGGCTACTGTCTACATGGTTTGGCACATTCATACTGTGTGGTATGCCGAGCCTCTCAACAAAGTTCCCATTCTTCCATAGCTACTCTGACATGTCTATGCAGAAACGCCAACAAGTTTTGCAGTCTTGGTCTCTCAGTTACTTTCGTCTCCTTAGGAAATTTTTCAGGACCATCAAGCTTCTCACTCTCTTTGTCTTCTTTACTCAGGTAATGCCCTCATTCATTTCCAACTGCACCAAGAACAGGCCATATATATATATATATATATATATATATATATATAAACACAGTGCATTTAATGTCTCCTGCTTCTTCCTCTCTTTCATTCTTTGCTTTATTATTATTATTATTGTAAAAATAAATAACACAAAGATTTATCGTGGTTCAGCCATTAGGCTTTATATATATATATATATATATATATATATATATATATATATATATATATATTTTTATTTCTTTTTATATATTTTATTTCTTTTCATTTCTTTTTATCAAAAATTAAGTTCTAAACAAATTGGAATTTGCTCTAACCTGGTGAGGTATTAGCGTCTCTAACCCTACTTTAACTTAAAAAAAAAACTCAGCACTAAAGTAACCTACTTATATAAATACATTTACTTTACCCACTTCTTTAGTTAGTATTAGCGGCTCCAATTATTTTTATTTTACACAAAACCATACTCTTTATACAAGCGTATGCTATCTGATACATGGAGATTTTAAAAGGTAATAAAAATAAAAAGTGATATATGTGGGCGTTTTATATATGAGTTTTATTAATCTCATGTTAAAGGAGATAGTTATCTCATGTCATAGAGATAAATTTGTGGGCTCCACCACTTGAAAAAAATTAAAAAAAAATAAAAGAAAAAGGTGGCACAGTTATCGAATGGTGTGTAGGAGAGAAAAAGTATTTTATGTAACATAAGAATAGTTTTTCCCTTTATATATTCAAATTATGACTATTAATATCAATGATAAGTATACGATTTGTCATTGTTTTGAATTAGGAGTACTCTACTTTTTTTTTTTTTTTTTGTAAATAGAGTACTCTACTTTTTTGTCAATATATATATATATATATATATATATATATATATATATAATATTTCTAAAGTGAATGTAGATAAGTTATCTATATTCGCTCCCAAAACGACGTCGTTTCGGGTTGAAAAATTAAAAAAATATAATGAAAAAGACTATTATAACCCTGAAATAAATTATAATTACAAAAATATCTTAATTTCAGCTTCAAAACGATGTCATTTTTGTTGGAAATCGACAATCACACAGAATCGAGAAAACAGAAAAAGAGATAAGAATAGAGAGATTGACACGATGATTTACCCTGGTTCACCCAATATAGGCTACGTCCAGCTTGTCTGTACTATATTCACCTCACCGCCACTCGTTACAAGTCTCTCGGTTTACAAGGCAAATATAAATAGGATTACAAGAAACCCTAACAGCAGCTATTCATGGGCCCAAGCCCAAACTGCTAAGAAAATTACAATAGAAACAGAGGCCTAAACATTACCTAGCCTCTATGGGCCAGGGGCCAAGTGAGCGGGACCCCAGTTGCCTTTCTGCTGACCCCGACAATTAGGGCCAACATCATCATGTGAAGTATGAGCCATACCCAACAATTTTGAGCTCAATGTAGATAAGTTATCTACATTAACTGGTAGAAAAAGCAAATCTTATATATATATATATATAGGATAATGTTCATAAAAATGAGAGCATTAATGTCATGTTTTGAAGTTTAGTTGAGAGAAAGGGACGGGAAAGAGAAAGATGGAAGGGAAGGAGAGGGAAGCGAGTGGATGGAGGACGAATTGTATCCTCTTGTTTAGATGTTTGAATAAAGAAATGAGAAAAACTGTCTCATGTTGAGAGTAGCAGTCGAAATAGCTAGACAAGAATGATTTTCATTTGGCCTTAAAAGAGAAAGATTTTTATTTCAGGCCTTAAAAATATTTTAGACAAGAATTTATGTAATATTTTCCGCAATTAAGGTAACCAGCCCTTTTAACGCCTAAGGATCTTCACCTTTTTTTTTTTCGGTAAACGAGAATTTTCACTTTTTACTTTTCTGTCAAGTCAACGTTGGAAATATTTTCTTTTGCAATTTCTTTATATATTTGTTATGACTATCAGTTGGTGTATGCACTTTATTGGAAAATATAATAGTCATAATTTTTTATATCTTCGAAAGATTTCGTTATTGACATTTAGAAATTCTATCTTTGGGAAAGGCATTCATTTTTTAAAAAGGTATCCAAATTTTCATGTTGCTGTAAAAATTTTCTTTTTATACCACCAATTACAACTATAAATTAATAGTAAGGTATATTTGTAATATTAAAGTTATTTTTTTCTCTTCGTCGCGTCAGTCAGCAATCTTATGAGAGGAGAAATTAAATTTTTTAAAATTATAACTATGTCTTAGCGATAAGACATAATTATAATTGATTACTGCAAAAAAAATTATCTTGCAACAACATGAGAAGTGATTTTGCCTTTTTTAAAAAACATGTAATTCAATTTCTTTCTTGTTTTTTTCATTTTGATAAAAAAAAATTGTACATAAAATTAAATAAAATTCGCATGTTTTAGTGCTTGTCTAAAATATTTTTTTAGAGTTTCTTTTTAAAAAAATTCAAATTAAAATAAATGAAGAGATAGTTGTTTATTTTCCTTAAATTTATTCAATTTAAGTAAACAAAAAATTATCTGTATGGTAGTTAGTGGTACTAAAAGCGCATTGTGACTTTATGAGAAATTTACTTGAAATATCAGAGGTTGAAATCTTGAAGTCATTACTTTCGTGAAGATTTTGTCTAACTATTATATATCCTTAACTCAAAATTACGAGAACAATTTCTTATTTATATATATATATAGGTCCTTTTTTCTCGTATTGTAGGATAATTTTTTCTCTTATTATAGACATAAAATATGGTATTTTTTTCTCGTATTGTAGGATAATTTTTTCTCTTATATATATATATATATATATATATATATATATATAGGTCCATTCATTAAAAAAAATATTTCCATACATCTCAATGTTTCATTAATAGAAAAAAAAAATCTCTTATAACAATATAACATGATAATTTTTTTTCCCTATAAAAATATATATCTATTTAAAGAGAAGCAAATTTGATTTCATAGAATTGCAACTTTTGATAAAGATAGTCAAAGCTAAAGCTTGTCGCTGAGATTCAAAATCAAAATCAGATTAGACTCGTCCGTTAAGATTTCTGAATTGTGTGGTATAAAAAATAATAATAATGTTTCTCCCAGCGAGATTAGAGGTTGTCTTGTCCCTATCAAGAAAATTTCAAATTATAGCCCCATTTAGGTGGGTTAGTGATGCGTACATATTTGAATAAAAAATTGTCCAAAGTCCAACTGGATGTGGAAAAGCATAGCAATGGGGCCATGTGTAGCGTAGGCATATTAGGTTAGGCTAGCTCGTATCAACTAGTAGTAGAGGTGGCAAAGTGGATGACCCGTCCCGTTCCACTCTATCCCGTCGTCAACCCGCCAAAAAATGAGTTAGCCCTTCCCGTTCCACTTTTGAAAGTGGACTGAAAAACTCAGCCCGTCCCGTCCCGTTTGACGGGTTGGGCAGGTTGGCCCGTCAGCCTGAGCCTATTTTACACTGACCCGCCTCAGCCCGCTTATGCCCGCCATCAACTCGCAAAAAAATGAGCCCACCCCACCCCGCTTTTGGGATGAGTTGAAAAACTCAGTCCGCCCTACCCCGTTTAGCGAGTTGAGCAGTTTGATCCGCCGAGCCGAGCCCGTTTTGCCGCTCTAACTAATAGTATATATGGAAGTCATAGACTCGTACCAAAATGGGATGATGTGATTAGCATTTGGATCCAAATTAATGCCTGTGCCCTAGTTGTTACAGTTCGCAGGTCATCCTCAAGTATACACACTCCAATTAATGTATATTATGTTTCACCGATACCCACACCAATACTATGAGATATAATATGATATTTTGATACGTTAATTTTAAAAAATATTAAATTTTAATATATTAGGATATATTTTGATATTAAATAATATTTTTAATTTATATAATATGTATTATATTTAATATTCAATAATTTTACAAAAAAATGATGTTAAACTTATAATACTCATCAATTTTGCAAAAAAACATAAGTGTCGGAACTAATAGTAATTGTAATATAATAAAACTAATAGTTGGAACTAAAAATGTAACCCAACACAATTTTTGAAGTGTCAGAATATTAGAAAGTGTCTAAATGTCAAGAAGTATCGAATATGACATGTCAATTTTTTTAAAGTGTCGATCATAAAATGTATGTGCTCCCATTGGTCTTCCACGTGTCCTTCTCATGCAATTTTCAATTTCTCTACGTAATGACCACAATTAAGACTGTGGTTCTGTATAAGTGCCTCTGCTCAAATGTTTCCTTGTTAACATCATATGGACCCACAACAAGTGTATACACTTGGTTTTAAATAAAAGTGGTGTTGGTAGTATTACTACTTAAGGTAGTAAGTTAATGGAGAGAAAACTCTTTCTCTTAGCTTGTATTGCGATGAAAAATTAATTTTCCTATGCCAAATATACAGTTGGTAAAAAAATTCAAATGGCATTAAAGTATACTGTCCCATATATGACCTCGGTCTTCCATCCAGTGGGGTTTTATGTGTTACTAAATTATATTTACACTATCTTGGTCATCTTTAAAACAATTACATTGGGTCATAGTATGAGCTTATGTTTATATAAGTATCATTTGTTGTTTTCTAATTCCACTCCTCTGGTTCCACTCACGACATTATAAAGCTGACGAAGAAAATATAAACGAAAAATCAGACGGTATTTATTAAGTGTAGACCATTCTTTCATAGTTTTTTTTTTTTTTTTTTCCTCAAAAATAAGGGAAAACAATAGACCTCAATATTGGGCCAAAATTTGTCAAAAGCCAATTGGTCAATGAATTTCCAGCCCATGACTGCTTAGCAGCTATATTTTGAGTGGATGAGTTTGGGCTCTTTGAAAATGTCATGCATACAATCAAACAAATCTTCCACCTACTAATGATTGAAAAATAACATATTATTGAACTTGTCTTTCCTAAATATAGAAGCTCAAGCTACATGGAGTCCACCCAAGCAAAGAAGATACAAATTGGGCTCTAGTCTAGATCTACATTAAATAAGGCCTTAATCTTTTGGGCTGCAAACCCTTATGCAAGAACAAACATGTGCTGCTCTATTCTTGCTAAATAAAGCTGCTACTATGGCACAAATGCACAATTAAAAGACCATGTAGGCTATGTAAAAGAAAAGGAAAAAAACAGAGAGAGAGAGAGAGAGAGAGAGAGAGAGAGACCACAACCACATAGGCTGCCACAGTGTTTGAAATATTGTCAAATATATATGATTTTCTGGATGCTTGGAACCATATACTCACAATGCAAGAACTCTTCATTTTCAGCTGGATGAAGCAGAAGACAATCCATCATGGAAGGCAATTGGATATACTGGACCTGATCCAGAGTTCAAAGCACAATTGAAGAAACACTTTTTGCATAGAACATCAAAAGAAGGACGACAAGAGGAAAAAGAATATGATAAAAATGCTGATGAGGTTATGGGACCTCTATACAGAGGTCTTGTCCATTTAAATTACCCACATGACATCATTACAAACGCTCTAAGGCAATTTGGATTCCATGTTTCTGTTACTCCTGGAAAGAATAAAGCTTCTAACATTTCATCTCCTTCTTTAGTTATCCAATGTGATGCAGTGGTTGTTGGTTCTGGCTCAGGAGGTGGGGTGGTAGCTGGAGTTCTAGCAAAAAGTGGTTACAAAGTGTTGGTTTTGGAGAAAGGAAGCTATTCTGCTAGGAACAATCTTTCCCTTCTTGAAGGACCAACCATGGATCAAATGTACCTCTCCAGTGGTTTGATTGCAACAGATGATATGTCTGTACTAATGCTAGCAGGATCCACAGTTGGTGGAGGTTCTGCAATCAACTGGTCAGCAAGCATTAAAACCCCTCAGCATGTATGCAAGGAGTGGTGTGATCTCCATGGTCTAGAATTATTTGAAAGTAAATTATATAAAGAAGCCTTGAATGCTGTGTGTGAGAAAATGGGAGTTCAATCTGAGATTGATGAGGAAGGGTTCAATAATGCAGTTCTAAGAAAAGGGTGTCAAGAAATGGGATATCCTGTGAGTAATATTCCAAGGAATGCCCCACCAGATCACTACTGTGGCTGGTGTAACATGGGATGCAAGGATGGAAGAAAGAAATCTACATCAGAAACATGGCTTGTTGACTTGGTGAAATCAGGTAATGGAGCTATCTTTCCTAGTTGTGAGGCTATACAAGTCTTACATAAGGAAAAGAAAGGAAGAGACAAAAGAGTAGCATGTGGAGTGGCTTTTGCAATTGAATACAAAGGAAACAAAAACATTTGTGTGGTGGAGTCCAAGGTCACAATTGTAGCATGTGGAGCACTCAGTACTCCAGCATTGCTAAAAAGAAGTGGCTTGAAGAATGAAAACATTGGGAGGCACTTGCATCTTCATCCAGTGTCAATGGCTTGGGGCTACTTCCCTGATGCACCTTCTTCACCTGAACTGTGGCCAGAGGAACATAAAAGAAGCTATGAAGGAGGGATTATGACAGCTATGTCCACAGTTGTTGCAGAGTATGACAAATCAGGATATGGTTCAGTGATCCAAACACCTACATTGCATCCTGGTATGTTCTCAATTCTAATGCCATGGATTTCTGGAATGGATATTAAAGATAGAATGTGCAAGTTTTCTAGAACAGCTCATGTATTTGCACTGGCAAGGGATCAAGGTTCAGGAACTGTGAAGTCACCTAACTCGATAAGTTATCAAATGAAAGATGTAGACAAAGAGAATTTAGAGAAAGGAATTGAGAAGGTACTGAGAATTCTGGCAGCAGCTGGAGCTGAAGAAATTGGAACACACAATAATAAGGGAAGGAGCTTAAATGTTAAGCAAGTGAGCTATAATGAATTTGAGAAATTTGTGAAAGAAGAAAGTTCAAGGCCATTAACAGACCTTTCAACACCTTTATGCTCAGCACATCAGATGGGAAGCTGTAGGATGGGTACTAATCCAAAGGACTCAGTTGTGAACCAGATGGGGGAGACATGGGAAGTGGAGGACCTTTATCTTGCAGATTCAAGTGTCTTTCCTACAGCTTTGGGTGTGAATCCAATGGTTACTGTTCAGGCTATTGCTTATTGCACAGCACAATATGTTCTTGAAGTTCTTAGAAGGAAAAGAAGTAGGTGAGTTAAAAAAATAAAAGAATCTTTTGGTGGTTATGTAAAAGCTGAAGAGGATTCAAGTTATAATAATTTTATGTGAGAAGTTCAACAATTGACAAAGATTGGGGGAAGTAGTCTAGTTCTGTTTCCTTATTTGATTTATATCAATTAGGATTTGAGTTTTATGTTTTTTTTTCAATATCATGGATTGTAATTTCCTATTTCCATAATTAATGATGTAAAATCTTATATAAATAGAATAACATTGTTGAAGAATCTCTCAAGTCATTCACAAATTCCTGTTAATATGGTTTCACTCTTATGTTTTTTTATTTGATTTGTAAGGAATTAGGATTTAATTTGTATGTTTTTCAATATCAAGGATTATAATTTTCTGTTTCCGTTATTAATAATTGTAAATTTTAGATAAATAGAATGAACTGCGGAGGAATTTCTTAAGCAATTCACAAATTTCTATAAATACTTAAAAAAAAATTCCTGTTATTACTAATTCAAATATCAATGGATATATTTTTACTCCTATATATCAGATATAAAATGTAAGCAATACTGTTTGTTACCGACAAGCAGAAGAGCATTCAAGATACAATAATTTTAAAAGTAAACCCTAATGTTTGATTCTGCATCATGAAACCAATAACAACCCAATTCATCATATAAGTTATAGACAAGCCTAATGTTTGTTTCTGCAAAAGCTTGTTTAAAACATGAGTTCAACTTTTCCGTATGTGCACAATGAATTCATTTTTTGGTAACTTATCTGCAGTTTTCAAGTCTCAGCTTCTCAGTGAAGGTTCAGATCAAGATTTAAATTTCATTATATCCAATTAGACATAAAACTTTACCACTTTCTGCTACCCAGAATTTTAGCTGCACAAAACCAACAAAAGAGATTGGAAGAGTTAGAACCCCATAAAAAAATATGATAATGCAATTTGGTTGGCACAAATCCCATTCATCGATTGTCTTTCATGTCAATCTGTTATTCCTTTGGGAGCAGTTTCCAAAAAATCAGACATACACCTTATGAACAGAGAGGAACAAACTCACATTCTCTAATGTAACCGCTTTCCTTTATAATAGTCGACACCACTGAAAGCAAGACAAAGTTCCCAAAGTAATGCACGTGTAGGGATATTAGCTGCTTATTAGAATAAGATGGTATTAAATTGAGTCAGAAACAATAATAATTCATAAAGACCTTTTTTTTGTATGCAACTCATAATGTTCAATGCCAAGTTACCAACAATGTCGCAAGAACCAAAAAATAAAAAAAGGCAAGCGATCCTACTCGGGGAGCTTTACAGGTAAAAAACACACTAACTGTTTCTGGCTAAGGTGCATTTCAAATTAGATATAGGTGCTATCGTTGTCAAGAATGGATCTCTAAATTTTGTCCACAATAAAAAAAATAAAAAAATAAAATACAATGAAAAAACAATAACTCCTCAGCATTCATTGTCCTAACCTTTTTTTTGGGTACATAAAAGGGGCTAAGCCCCAAACAAAAGGAGAAACAAAAACACAAAAACAACAACAAAGCAAACTAACGAAAGAACTTTTAGCAAATGGATCCTTTCTATCTCTACACAAACATTAACGGGAATCTCACCATGCTGCATATGGAAATACGGTATAGTCGAGATGATGGATTAAGCCAATGTAATTCTGCCAACCAGGGATAGGCATTGTTCCTGCTTCGTCGTGTGACCATGAATCATTCATGCTCCCAAATATCATCCTATATTGTGGACCCTCTTGAATCCACTACGCTCTATAATAGCGCAAGTCAACTCCTTGTAATGACCCATATCAACCCGGTTCGTTATCCCTTAATCGTATCAAGCACAGTGTATTATACATGTATAATCATAAGCATTTACGTCAATCAAAATGCAGTAAATTTATTTTCAGAACTGGGAATTCATGTCTACACCAAAAAATTCCAGATTTTGGATATGATGAAGTAGGCGTTATAAACTTCCTAGTTTGTAAAATTCAGAGTTGTACAACTCAAGATATGCAATTAAGAAGACAAATGTTCAAACTGAATTCCTGGCATCAAGACCACAGGCTTTGTACGAATTCCGGGAATGAGACTCTGTCCTTAAATTCCGAAATTTTCCAAATTTGTAGAGTTCCAAGTTAGCTTTGCATAACTGCAATTTTATCTATTTTGGATCACTCTAGTTTAAGTTACACTCAAATTACTGCTGGTATGTCAATGCTTTTCTAGAAACAATGGCCACACATCTACAATCATCACATAACAACACACCTGACCTCTTTATTTAATATCCAACATCACTAAACCAAATACATGATTTATGCATTCGTCACATAGGGAATCCAGGTTTGAGTGATAATTTGACCTCCTATTAATGCTCCTCATTGCTGGCCATTAATTCCATTACAACATATTAGGGTACATCAAGAGAACAAAACATTTCTTTTCATTGCTATAATATGATTCCAAAGACATGTATTGGTCTTAGCCATAGGAATGTTTGAAGTTTCATTATTCATGATACCATTTGGCCTGATTGCGGGTTTTTTCCTACGCATATTTCATTAAAACTATAATCTATAGATTTATATGATGCAATGTAACTATAACACCTCGACTTTATACTATGGTTATTCTAGCAAGTTACCATGCATAACCAATCTGATATGTGCACAATAGATATCCGATGACCATCCTATTATAGAATTTTACATTCAGTCCCTTAACAACTTTGTATAGAGTACATTTATCAACTATTTCCAAGAGACTTGATTCATGCTTTGAGTTGCATCTTTTGATTTAAATATTGCAATTAAATCACCAGTACATACCATACAACATAATAACTCTCCATTCAATTAACTGAACAACTGATAACTTAAATTAAACAAGATTCTTGATCTACCATTAGGCAATACTTATCCACATTACATAACATTTCCTTTTCGTTTCCAAAAACTAGACATAAGTTGTTCAAGAAAAAGGTAACAGTCCAATTAAATATTCCTTCGGTCAGTCAACACTCCCCACTCCCCACTTACATAGTCACATATCTCATCTTTTATAACATAAACCAAAGCTCTCCCAAAATAAGACAATAGCCTCAAAATTCAAAATAACTTCCAAACATTATCAAAGACACAAAAGGGCATAGACATCATAAGAAGCGGTCCTTCCATACATGATTCATCCATTCTACGTCTCAGCCAAAGCACTATTACCATCATTCGTGAGACCTGCAAAAGCAGCCCATAACGGTGAGATTTAACTCTCAATAAGCCTAAGAATATTAGGACTTTTCCTCAATTTTCTGGTTCTTTTTCCCTGCAGAATAGACCTATAGCATATGCAAATCATATCGAAAATACATTGCAGATTTGATACCATTTGTGTCATGAAAATAATTCACATCTTATAGGCAATAACTAACCATTTACTTATCTATACATGATGACAATATCTCCATGAACTAGTTCAACATAGGAAAACTCCTAGGAAATATCTTCTAATCCTTAATTCTGGCCAGAATTTTACTCCAATAACTAACAAAATCATAAGACCTCCTTAAAGTCGTTCACATATACCCTCGAATTTCACTTGCAATTGCAATGGCATAAGCATTTTATCTCAAGCCAACCATATACCACAAAATTAAATCCATTTCAGAAAGACGTATATAATATCATTCAATGATCAACATATTGACAATACATACGCCGTTCCACATAAATAAATCAAGACAGCCATAGTTCGATTCGTTTAACTAACTTGCAAGTAATACAATTCCCATTTCAGCCGTATATCAGTGAACAGTACAGCCATGAAAACAGACACATACAATGACATTTAAGGAGCACCAACTTCACAACATACATGCATCATAGGTCGATGTATTTCATGAAACTTATGCAGCCAGGAATGAAGCAAGACAGGGGAAGGATTTCAAGATTCATAATGCTTACCTAATTCCTATCGTCCAAGGTCAACTCTTCACAAGCAATCCTACTTCAAATTCGGTTTCTTCAGCGACTACTCATTTAGAGATGATTTTGACGAGTTTACAATGGTCGGTTGAATTCAAGAAAAATGGTGGAATTAGAGGTGTGGCTAAGGTTGTGACGAGAGGAAGTTAAGAGGAATTTTTTTATTTTATTTTTAAAGTACAAAAAATTTTATCTTTTTCGATATGGAAGAGAATGGAAATGAGGGAGAATGGTTACCGCTCTCTAGCGGGTGTTCGCGGTCTGGATTGGATCGGTTTTGAAAGCAAAACTCATCCGATCTAATACTTTCGGTTTAATTATGTAATCATCCATTCGGTTTAGATTTTTTTTCAAATTCGATCCGATCCAATCAGATTTTTTTTAAGGTCAACTCTTCACAAGCAATCCTACTTCAAATTCGGTTTCTTCAGCGACTACTCATTTAGAGATGATTTTGACGAGTTTACAATGGTCGGTTGAATTCAAGAAAAATGGTGGAATTAGAGGTGTGGCTAAGGTTGTGACGAGAGGAAGTTAAGAGGAATTTTTTTATTTTATTTTTAAAGTACAAAAAATTTTATCTTTTTCGATATAGAAGAGAATGGAAATGAGGGAGAATGGTTACCGCTCTCTAGCGGGTGTTCGCGGTCTGGATTGAATCGGTTTTGAAAGCAAAACTCATCCGATCTAATACTTTCGGTTTAATTATGTAATCATCCATTCGGTTTAGATTTTTTTTCAAATTCGATCCGATCCAATCAGATTTTTTTTGATTTGGATTGGATCGGTTTTCGGTTTTTTGAATATCCTAAAATTAGTTTCATGATTATTGTGCAAATAACATCTTTTGTATATATTGATTTTGTAAAAAAAATAATATTGAATACAAAAATATCAGTAAACAATACTATAGTTGATGAGACGTGACTAAGTTTTTTCTTGGATTTAGTTGACGAGTCAATGCGTCTTGAGTTTAGAAATTTTTGGGCTATGATTAGAGAAAGAACAAGTAGGTAGAGGATAATATATATTGGATCGATTTGGATTGGATCGGTTTTCATCAACCCATCCGAAATCCGATCTAATCCAATTAAAATTTGTGATTTTTTTTCGGTTTTCAATTTTTCGGTTTGGATTGATGAACAGCCCTACCGCTTTCATATGAAACTGAAGAGAGAGGGAGTCTAATTGTTTGTTCTCACAAAATTTAGAATTTTTCAGTTTTATTAAACGTCGATCGGGATATTGATCAACGGTGGGATCAGTTGAATCGAATATATGTAA